TCCATCCCATAAGTCCCCCTCTAGTTTTCAATTATAACTCCCGTAACTTTATCGAAATCATTGCAATTTTAGAAAATATTGATATTCTGTCTAATCTAATAAATATAGATATTGAAAATGCTACCTATCTTAAAATTTAACTTTTCTTGTAGTACCTCACATTCTTCTGAATATCGTAGCTCAAGCAGGCTGCCACAGCTTATTAATTATTAATTTATTATTTCTTCTGTTAGTAGCCAAAATTTGTAATACAAATTATAATATTTTCTTTTACCAAAGGCATCAGAAATATGGATAAAAAAAACATGATTTGTAACATTTTTATGTTGAAGTGGATATAGTTTTATATATTTACGTACCCGGCGGTGTTTCGATCGGCGGTTCTGTAGATGGTTCATGTTCATGTTCATCATTTCGATGTGTTGATATTTTGACCCTCCGGCGGGACCCGGTCCTCCGGGGAGACGTATCGCGACGCGGTTGCTGCTGAGCCCGTCTGGATCTCACCCGGTGAGGGGCAGCTGAAACATTTTTTTAAATTAATAAATACTAAAAGACCTAATTAGTCATGAAATTAACAAAAAATAATATCTGCTTACCATCCGCGCCACCAGAATTTGTGGGCCTTACGGCACACATAACATTCTGTAATAAATTACGCTATTAATATTTGAATATATTTATATTATGTAAACTGAATATTGAAAAAATATTAAACTTACTTCAGGACGTTGCCCACTTGTCGAGGCTGCGGCTGTGCCGCAGTGATTATTGCAGCTATCTGTTTTTCAACAGCTGCAGCAACAGTCTGTTCCAGCCACGAATTAAGATAGTATGGATGCCCAACGAGTCAAGTAAAATTGAAAGTTAATCTGACTACCTTACCATGTCCGTGCAAATTAGCACTAGCGCTCCTGTTGGATTTATTCGATATGATTAACATTATACAGCATTATTTAAATAATCTGCAGGTGCCCGCCATATGTTAAATTTCCACATACTTTTATTCAACTTCCATACGTCCATATAACTGTGCCTGCCCATATTAGAATATTATTCATTTATACTTATTTGACTGATGTCATCTTGTACTCTTATTGGTACAGCACCATCCATTAATTTAGGTTTTTTAAACATATTTGTGAAAACAATTATGGTAAACCAAATTCACATATTTTAATATATACTCAGCATTGAAAAGTTTATATTATGCTTATGCGATAAACTAAAATTTCACAACTATAGATGACTCATTATTACCGTATATTTACTTAGACCCTGGCCAGATACTCATTCATTTAAAATATCTTGAGATTTAAAGTGCATTTCACAAACTCTGGACTTAGTTTTTAATGGTACACCTAAATTTTCTTCCCAAACTTGAAAACGGTATTGATCTTTTGGTACACTAAAGGAACTTTTTATTTTTTTTTTTGAAGGACAATTTGTTACACAACAAGACATGTTGAAAAAAATTATAAAACAAACAACTTTAATGTACTAAATAATATTTATTTTTAATAATATTACACGTTCCTTTATAATTTATCTTGGTTCTTAATCATATATTCATATATGTTTAATATTATATACTATCATAAAGTAATATTAAGGGTCTAATAAGTAAAAGAAGCCTAAGCCGTTAAGAGCAGCCTTAGATAATATATTTAATATTAGTTTTATATTTGAAATAGTTGGACAAATCATCCGCTTGGAGTGCTAGTCTCGTGTTTTCAGTTTCTTAACACACGTCAGCTGTTCAGGAGTCAAAACTACTTACTTCATAGCACATTGAGCATCCATACTATCTTAATTCGTGGTTCCAGCCAAGACTGTTGCTGCAGCGGACATTTGGCCTTGGAAGTACAAAAATTGCATACGTACTGGTTATTCCACATATGAAATAATTGTATTAATTATAAAACCTAAGAACCAACATTATGTATAATAATTAATAATTAGTTATTCTCATGATTGGAAAACCACCTTAGTCTTCTTATAAATGATCAACATATCACTATCCAATCTTTTTTGAAAATATAAATTAGTGTTACTACAATATTAAAACTAAAAAAAAAAAATGTTTGTATAGGTATATTATTTAGTGGGCGAGTTGCCAAGTACACATGGTTATACGTTTTTTGTACTTTAACCCTTGGAACTTTTTATTTTCTGTTTTCGTAATTTCGTATAAATTGTGAATTTTATAATATTATTATTTAAAATACAAAAATTCAAATAACACATCTGTTCTCTGACCCTGCGATTAAAATTTTAAAGTACCTACCAAAAGTATCAAAAATTCATAACTAACCAACATACCTACTTGCATACCACTATTATAAGATATAAAATTAAATAGATTTTAAACATAAGTATTTTCTATAAAATATGACAAACACGTGTTAAACAAATACATATTTTGTATTGATTGTCCATAAGGATTTGTTTGCAATCAAAATGTATTCATAAATTGGTTTTCATTATCACATTTACACATTTTAGATTTTAAGATTGGTATAACTGTTTATTATTAAACTAACATTGATAAAACCTTATCAAACTAATTTAGTATTAAGCATATTAGTTTTTTTGAAAAAATAAGTGAAATCCTAGTGATTGAACATACCCGGCTAGTCTATGAACACTTCAAACCCAGTGTATGAACACCTACAAATATTTGATAAAACAATTTGAATTAAATGTAGTTCCTTTATTAAAAAATAACACATAACTTCAATATATACATATCTACCTAATTACAAACTTAGTAACAGGACTAGAATAAAAATCTAAACAAACATAAGTAAATATATTAGTGAAAACCAACTTGGTAACTATTAAAATAAATATCTTTGTAGGATAGTAACAATGTTATAACTATATAATATAACAGTAGTTGTACAGGTATAAAGCGTTTAAAAATTAACAATAAATTGTAACTTGTAAGTAAAATAAAAAAACTTAACGGCAGAAATCACAAATGTAAGCAAGTGTGTTTTCAGAATCAGCACAGAGTTCATGTG